TTAACACCTCGTCGAAAAAAATGTGCTGTTTCATCCAAACTGCATCCTCCAATTGATTATGTTCTTACCTGTACTTCTCATTACCAGTTTGCCAGACAGTGTATTCAAATTGTAACAATAATATAATTAACAAATGGTAAACACCACACCGTACACTATTGAGTTATGGATGCACTTGGGAGGTTTGCTAAGTACTCAAGAAGCTAGAGTCGCTCTCGGCTATCGCCTCGAGCGACTCTTACGCTTCTTTCGTGCTTAGCAACCTCCCGCGTGCATCCATAACTCAATAGTGTACGGTGTGGTGTTTACCATTTGTTAATTATATTATTGTTACAATTTGAATACACTGTCTGGCAAACTGGTAATGAGAAGTACAGGTAAGAACATAATCAATTGGAGGATGCAGTTTGGATGAAACAGCACATTTTTTTCGACGAGGTGTTAAAAAAAAAATTGTTGTCATCGTTTGAAAGAATAAGCTTTCGGATCCTGGGGTTGTGGAAGTCAATCCCATTACGTCGTCGTATTTAATTGAACAAGTGGTTTATGAGTCAGTTCGGGAAGGTTGGAGAGCACGAAAGATGAGTAAGAGGTGTTTGAGGTGCAGCCAAGAGTTACTCTAACTTCTTGAGTACCCTCCAAACTTACAGAGGGCCAAACGGTCATCAGTTTCACTGCTTTCCTAAATAAATAAAGCCTATTGACTGATTGATTGATTCACTTTCCAAGTGATTCATGTCACGATGCATGCACAGCTGACGTGCGAACAGATCGTTTCGTAACATTTATAATGCAGTAGTTAGAATTTTGTTGTTGGAACAAGAAAGCCCTCTGGTACACTGGACACACGTCTGGTACACTGGACATACGTCTGGTACACTGGACACACGTCTGGTACACTGGACACACGTCTGGTACACTGGACACACGTCTCTAGCGTCCATAATGGGGATAGGAAGGACCCTTCATTAATTTACTTTGATTACACGAATCTACCCGCTATTTTATAAACTTGTTTAATAAAAAACCGTTTGTTCTTGTCTCTGAACAGTGGAATGCTTTACATCTTGTTTGCTGTGTTACTTGGCGCAGTCTGCAGCCGCTATGCTCTGCTCACAGACTATATGATAGCATCCAAGGTGTCGTTAGTTGGAGTGTTGTTTCTGTTTGGTCTGTATGTATCTTCTTTATCCTCCTGTCTTGGTGCTCAGTATGGAGCCCCGCGAGTGTTACAGTGTATCAGCAAGGAGAATGTTGTACCTCTCATTAAATCACTGGGCAAAGGGGTAAGAAGATTTCTAATAGGGTTATTGTTAAGGAAGATGTGTCTTTTTTGTATGGTTATGATACTAATCAAAGACTAGAATAGAACAATTTTGTAAGCTGGGACAGGACAGCCTAACCTTACCACCAAAAACTGATCAATCACAACTGTCTTTTCGCCAAATTCTAATTGCCAATAGCAACCCATCACCGCTTCACTTTTACTCAAGTCATCAAAACGCGAGACATTGTCACTGCTAAGGATCTTTTTTAGGAATACTCTTACCATTGCCAGTAACATCACAGCGACTTGAATAGAACCAGGCTTAAAACAATCAACTAACAAAGGACTGATCTCTAAATTCTTAGTTTCTGACAAAACTCTTCTTGTCTTTGTTTTCAGCGTGGTCCAAATCAGGAGCCGTATGTAGCTGCGATATTTGTGGCTGTGATTGCCATAGCATTCATAATGATCGGTAACCTGAATGCTTTGGCTCCTATAGTGACAATGCCATTTCTACTCACATACGCTGCTATTGACTACGCGTACTTCAAACTCGCCATGAGCTATGATCTACGAGAACAGCAAAAATTGTTTGAACGAAAACCGTCATCAGATCTCAAGAAATCGCCAGAAAGTCGGTTGATTTCGTCTGATTTTAAAGACAGTGGAAAGAAATTGAGTTACGGCAGCAGCTCCGAGGAAAAATATGATTTTGGAGAAGTGAAATTTGGCATGCAAGATGCCATGGAGAAGGATGACTCCCAGGAAAAGGAAAATAAAAATAAAGATGACAAGTGGTCTGATTACAGCTCGCCTCTGGATATGCCAGAGCACGATACAGCAGAAACGAAAGTTAATTTAGAAAGCAGAGACACTGATGGCGAAAAAGGAGATTCGGAAGTGTTTAATGATACAACAAAACTGCTGCAGAGTGAGAGCAATAAAGACAAGGAAAAAACACTAAGAGAAAGACGAAAATCGGATGAAGCAGATCGCGAGAAATTAAAAGGTAAGTTAAATCGTGTTCTTGAGTTTTTAACTCTGAATATTGAATTTGTAGTGTTCTTATTGGCTCTCTCTCTCTCTCTCTCAACTCCGGTTATCAGCTCATATACCGAGTCATGCATTGCGCCAACTGTCGCGGAGCTGAAAGAAAGCTCCAAATATCCAAACGTTTAGGATTTGACGCAATTTGATAAAGTTATTTTAGAAAGGTAGTGACATAATTTTTTCAGATTATCGTTAAGCCATAGCATAGACTTTTATTTCTCTTAACTCTGCAATTACAGTGCAGACAAACACCGAAAGGGCAAGAGTAAACGACAGACAAGTATAGTTTAGAATGGAGAAAGTTAAATCAGGAAACCCCTGGCTGATTGGTGCAAAATGCAGAGAACTGTTAAGTAGATCCTAACAGCTTGCTGTAGTTGTCTGTCGCAGTTTACGAGCATTCGAACCTTTCTCTGAAGTAAACAAGTGTTAAAGGGCCCAATATTGTGTATGTTGATGTGAAGTTTTGTTTGTACCTCGGTCTCAATTAACCAATGTTGTTTTTAATTCCTTTAAATTTTAGAACGTAGAAGGAAAGAAGAATACTATGATGAAGAGCATCAGATCAAATGGGAAATAGAAAAACAACCTTCTTCTTATTATTCAGATTTGTGTAATCGATGGGTGTCTTTAGCTGGGGTAAGTGATGATTGATATGGTAACTCTATTCTAGCTACAACACTTTTCTTTGAATTCATTATCTTTAGAGAATTTGTACCAACTTACGAAAGTAACGCAACGTGAGGGAATTATTGTGCTATATGCAAGAACGCGTGTGAAAATAACCTTTTTTTGAATACATATATCTTATTAGACGTTTTGTTGTGTAGTATCGCTGAGTATTTTTACGAGTTGTACTGTATTTTGATTCGCCCTACGGGCTCGTCAAAATACAAATAACGAGTAAAAATACTCAGCGATACTACACAACAAAACGTGTAATAAGTTATTTATTATCCAACACGCCAAATTGTTATTTCAGTGCGGGCGAATTTCGCGGATATTTATTTCCGGTGAGTGCTTGACAGAGGTATGCAAAGCGGAACGGAATTGGCGCGTTGTCGTGCTGTTTCTATTTTCTTCAATAAATGAAGAAATCTCCTGGTCGTCTAGCTTTTTTTCTTCGTTCTATTCATCTAATAAACTTGGATCTATGTTTGCCAGCCACTCTGACTCTTCGTCGTCAGAATTATGATTCAAATTGTTCGCCATTTTTTTTCGTAACTTCAATCCATTTCTTCGCTTGCGCGATGCGAGAAAACCTGTCTAACCGGTTCTCTGGAGGACAAATACCACGTGATATTTGTACTCGTTTATGGCGTTATTTATACTCTACGGAGTGTAGTTGGATAATAATTTTCAATACTTTTGTGAGGCAAGTATCGCTTATCTTAGAGCTGATATTTTGACTTGCAGGCGTTTGCCAGTATACTGATAATGTTCCTTATTAACTGGGGATACGCCCTCGCAAACATCTCCTTGGCGTTAATAGTGTACATATATATCGGTCAGGCAAACCCAGGACTGTCGAAAGGTAAACTAGGATTGATTTTCCTATGCAATATTAAAAATGATTTCTATTAAAAATCTCTTGTCCGAAGAATCGTTTTTCCAACTCTGAATCCTTCTAATTTGGTCACATTTCAATATTTTTCAACCATGTTACATATGGATATTGGATCTGTAGCTGTACAATTTTTTTCTTATGTGGCGACATTTGAATCCATTTATTTGCAAATCTGGGCTAGCCCATAGACTCGGTGGCCTGGAGGATAACGCAATTAAATCAAAGGCAAGAGGTCTGGATTCGAACCCAAACGGGGTCTCATGGGGGAAATCTTGCTCGTTAGACAAGCCATTCAACCACTCATCCTCCACTGCCCGCTCGAATTCAAACTGCAGTCATCTTCTATTACAGCCTCGGTTGATAACGGTTAAATGGCGTAATAATGACAAAGTGCTCTGTAATATATTTCAAATGCTTCTAGATCATCATTTTGTGATTTAGTTGTTTTTTTGTGTGTGTCTTTTCAGGAGTTGCTTCAGATTTCGTGTTCTTTAAGTGGGTTCAGTCTTTGTGGGATAAACTGGCAAGGTAACCTTTAAATGTGCATGTCCATCAAAATTTTGTTACGTACACCTAAAGAGTTGTAAAATCACCGTGTTTGTTAAAAAAGACAAAACATAGACAAAACAGAAAAAAATGACGATATAAAGAACAAACCAAACAAACAAAAAGCAATTAACTCTGCATTAACTGACCGTTTGATCTCCTGGTCTCTTATTTAAAAGAGACGAGAAAATGTGTAATTTGCAATTTAACCACAATGGTCTATGAAATTGGCGAGAGCAGAAAGTTCCTACACTGAAAACCTAAATCCTAATTCGGAGTTACATTGTAAATTATCATCTTCCAGTTGACGTACAAAACCCCCGTGTTTATTTACATTATTTTTTTCTTTGTAAACAGGAAGGAATCTTCACAACAGCAAATCGTAGTCCCAATCAGCGGCATTCCTTATCAGATGTCCACCTACCAGCTGACAGAAGAAAACACAGACTTTTCCTACCGAGACAAGCGGCACCAGTCCTCCATGGTAACAAGTATTGGACCCCAATGACGTAATAGTGTCATTAAGAAATAGTGGGGAGGGGTGGGACGGGTTCGGGAGATAAAATGAAGGAAGGGTTCTTTTCGGAAAATAATTATGGTGTTACTTCGCTTATTAAACTCAATAATTACTCTACGGTTATGGTCATTTTTCTAACTAATTCCTTTGTAGACTTTTCTGAAGCCTTCAGTGACAGAGCTCCTTTAAGTTCGAGTTTAGTTATCCACAAAGCTGTTGAATTTCAATCATTTTATATGTGTGTGTGTTCCAATTCTTTTTCCCAAGAGGCACAAATCTGGCTTAGTTTTTCAAAATTTTAGAGTTTATTTGACCATCGATTTTATTTGATGAGAAGAAAGAATTATTTGTGAAAAAATTATTTACGTGAGTGTACAACTAAGTTATTAGTAAAAAGGGATTTATCAGTTAGGTAAAGGAATAGGTTGAAGATTTTAGATAATACAAATGGTTAAGAAAATGTTATATATATTAGTTTGAATGTAAGGGTTTATTTTGTAAATACTTTGAAAAATTTATTTATACTGTAGGATATATAATTTTCTGAGGCCTTCAGTCCATTGGGACAACTTAGATTCAAAATGAAAAATTCGTTGGAATATTTTAATTTATTAACATGAGCAGAAGCTTTATTTTTTTCAATTTTGTTTGAAAGGGTAAATATATTACAAAAAAAAAAATTAAAAAGATAAAACAAAAACGGAATGACCAACATTTAGGAAAGTGCCAAGAATTAATTTATCAAACCTCAAGGTTTACTGATTTGGACCGTCTGGAGCTGAGAAGTTCAGCTATTCCTTGTTTTCAAAGGTTTGGTTACTTCTGGTGAGGTGGTACTTTATTTGCATACAGAGCGGTTTTCTGTTGTGACTGCCAAGGATCATTTTAGCCAATCAAAAAGGACATTAGAATGAAGTAAACGAACGAGAACTTGAATACGCGGGATCAGGGCCCTAGTCATGTGTTGGAAAACGCGCCTGGCAGTGCCTTTACAGTTTTTATTTTTATTTAATATTACTATTTATTTATTTTTTGCTTTTACACCTGATTGGTTGAGAATGGGACGTGATTTTTTTTTTTTTTAACTACAGAGCCCCTATGAAGCAAATCTGAAGCAAAGCTGAAGCAAAGCTGAAGCAAATCTGAAGCAAATCTTGAGCAAAATCAAGATTCTTGACACTTAATTGAAAACCGCTTAATTGAGGATAACGAAAGAGTGTAGGAACTTTACACACCAAGAAACTGAATCTAAATTTGAATTAGTGAATTATTGCCATTTTGAACCACTCGAGCAATAAAGTGAAATTAGTATTCACAACAGTCCTGTTCTCTTTTTTCTGAGCTTTCTTTGTATTACCGTTTCATCTTCGAGTTTGCTCCCAATGACTAATCTAAATTTCTTAGGTGCAATTAATCAAAGATCTACATAAAAGAATTTAACGAGTCAAATCTCTGGTATATGGTGCAGGATATCGGCACAGTTTCGGCTGTCTCTTTCTTTCTTTCTTTCACTTTTTTTTTGTGCAAAGTAACTGTCTTCACAGGTAGGCTTAAACATTGCTTGTGAACAAAGACTCGACAAAAAGATCAAGAACATACTTTTTTGTAATCTTCAACTTTCTCTGGAACTGTTGTGTAGAGGTAGACTTGAAGTTGATGATAGTAAAATAAATTCCTCTGATTATGACTCTAAAAGTTGTCTGAATGACTAGTAAAACTACTTTTACGTAAAGATGTTGGCCGTGATATGACCTATATGTCACGTGGCTTTTTTTGGAACGAATTTCACTTCAGTCAAATGCTCTCTTGGATTGTTTGTTTGTTTGTTTGTTTGTTTTTTTGTTAACTTTATGAGTTTGGAGATAAGATGTCGATATACCAACCAAATGAATGTTTATTTCCCTTACTGCAATCTAGTCCTAGCGCCTCGAACGGATAGATGGTCGGATTTGCATGTTACAACCGGTTTGGGCTGGCCAACACACATTTCTCCATTTGAATTGAAGATTTTTTTTTATTCGTGTTCATCGACAGCGCTCTAATTTGCTTTTGAATCGGGTCAAAAGCAAGGTACAGAATACAATAAACCTCATAGTTCCGTCCAAGAAGTACCTTTTTAATGCACCATAAGGATTAAATTGCGACTGAAACAAAATTCTGCCAACCTTAGAAAACGAAATTTCCATAAGAATTTCTTCAGAAAATTAAAACCCATTTCGTTAAAGATCAGTTAGAGTCTTAATCTGGTCACAAAACATTCATTTAAGTGACATCGGTTTTCCTTCGGAAAGCATGTGATCTCCCTTAAATGGATTTATTATGAACCGAGGCGTTTTATCAGGTCAAAAGGATAACAATGAAGATTTTTTATGAGTTTGTCTTTCTTTTATGAACGCCGTTTGCCAATTATTTGAGTTCAGTCTGCAATAAAAAGAAATGGAATCAGGAGATGACGTCAAATCCTGTCCAAAGACTAATAAAGGCCAAGGTGCTCGCCATCTGCCAAGACCAGCCATAGCAGGTGGATGATAACAACGTATTGTACCAGACTGCCCAAAAAACTCTTACAGCAATTCAAAGAAATCGAAGGTTCACAGACTAAAAGCCAAAGGTAAGCGAACTATCTAATATAAACATAACAGGTCCGATAGGATTTATTGTTGGCATCTCAGCAATACAAGATGAAGGGTAACGGAGTAAAATGACTTCAAACGCCATGACGAGGTTTTTCGATTTCGAAAATTGCGTTACTAAATCGATCGACGACGATTATCCCTCTTCTCGCCATATCAGTTTTTTGTCGATAAATCGGGAAAATTGTTCAAATGAGGTTGGTACGACTGGCTAATAGGATAGGCGCAAAAGCACACTGATTTCAAAAGACCTGCTCTTCCTGTGCCCAATATATATTTCACAAAGGTATTATAACTCGGAGTATGCATCACATTTAATTGTTTTTCTCGTTTTTGACAGAACGGGTTTGAATTTCGAGCGACTAATTTTAATCGCGTAGCCCTCGTTTGAAATAACTGTTTTGTGATAGTCTTAGATCTATATTGTATGTAACCAACGCTTTGCTAATGTCTCAAAAAAAGGCAAGACTCTGGGACGCGTCGAAAACTGAAAGGATTCCAATACTTCCGATGTGACCACAAAATAGCTAGATATGAAATTTGAAGAGAGACAAGAAAAAAGAAATACACTCCTGATTCCATAAAAATCTAACATTTATCTTATGATTAAATGTCTGAAAATAATCTCTAAATGTTAATTGAAAAGATAAATTTAGATTTTGAAGAGAAGCGGAGAGCTCGTTTACAGCCTAAATTCACTGATTATCTGTTTCTCATGGGACGTGCCTTTTGACCGTTTCCCAGTTTTATTCTTTTTTTTTTCGAATAGTTTGTTCCCATGGCTTTTTATCTTAACATTTTTGCTCATTAATTTGTGCGGCTAATTATAGTAAATGAATAAATAGTCTGACACGAGAAGAAATCTGGAATTCATCTGCGTAAGAAATTAATGTATGTATTTCAATTTACTGTTAGACATTTTATTAAAATGATCCATGGATGGTGAGTTGAACTGCAATTGGTCTTCGTTAATCTTATGGGAGAAAAGTTCCCGATATTACATTAATGACGTCATCATAAGCGCGGTAAACGCCTTTACTGCTGTCTTTGCTTTCCTTTGTAACCTGGTCATTATTGTGACGACAAAGAGGAAGAACCTGATTCAGACTCCGTGTGATATTCTAATTGGTAGCCTGACCTTATTGGAATGTGCAGCTCCGTTGGTAGCCAATCCCTTATTTACAGCATTGCGCATGTCCCTGCATGACGATCATATGACCTGTTCCCGCCTCCATCAATTGACGAAAGCTACAGAGTTAGCCATCGTGTTTTGTTGTGGCTGTTCCTTTACCCACATCGTATTGATCGCTGGGGATCGATACTTTGCTTTACAGAAGCCAATTAGGTATCGGAGACCTTGCGCAAAGAAAGGTGAGGAGATTGAAACCAATACCACACGTATTCATGTTTTCTTTAATCCTTACAAACAGCGCGTCCTCCCAGCAACAATACAAGTAAGAAACTTAAGCAAACCACAACGGCAAATCACAAAATTTTCAAGAAAAGAAACCTTGACGGCAAATTTGAAGTTTCCATTTGGAACTCAACGTCACGCTGAAATTGAGGCGTGGCGGCGTAAGAGACGATAAACACATCCAACCATTCACGAAATTCTAAATGAAGATATAAATTCCTTTAAAAGTCGACGTCTTCCTGGGTGTGGCCGTCCTGACTGCTTAAGGTCACTATTGAATGACTTCAACACCCTAACCTTCCCCTCCCCCCCACTTCAAATATACGTCGGCGTCATATAAAACCGGTTTCAAATTGATGTTGGTCCAACTGTCCCAAGGTCTAGCAACTCTATAATAACTGATGTGCAATGTAAATAACCCAATCCAGTCGTTAATGTCAGGTTAAGATCCAATATTAAAACTTCGATTTCACTGAGGATATCACACAGAAGAATCAACAGTATTCTCCTAACCTTTTTTTACTTTTTTCTTTTCCTTTTCTTAGTGGCTGTCACGTTCGCCTGTGCATGCTGGGTAATCTGGAGCGTCATTATCATTATTTTTGTTAAAAGCACTCTAGGACGTTTTGCAAAATTCTTGAGGATTTCCATAGCAACAGTGCTTATAACTTTGCTCGTGATTTATAAGGTAAAAACCTTTTTAATCGTCTTCCGATTCACTCACTCTGCAGTACAAGTTGAAAATTCCGTTAATGTCGATGGACTGACTGTGAGGGATAGAAAAGTGCTGGTTGACACAATTTCCATTTCAATCGCATTCGTGCTGATGTATATTCCAACAGCTGCTCTAAGTATTGGTAGACCGGCGGGTATCTATGGCAACGCCGTCTTTCCCTG